TTCAATAGACCTTTTGCATGAAACGGTCAGCATGGTACGACTGTCCGCCATGAAAACCAAAAGTATTACGTAGCCCGTCAAACTTGTTTTGAACATCCCAGTGGGTATTTTTCCATTGGACTTAGTACGTTAAGACTTGGCTTTGAATCGGACTAGAACAAATCCATGCATTTATTAGCCTCCAGCAATCCAGCATTCTGAATTGGTATTGTACTGATATTCACTATTTGGCTGGGATATGAATATCACTGACAATATCACTATAATACTATATTTACACTTCTTTTCATGACTTATATTAATAGTATATTTTCCCCTGCTTATTGACTGCTTATATTCAAATGACTTTCTTATCGTTACCAATGTTCATGGCCAGAAAATCCGGACATTTGAGCCCGCAATCGCAGCGGTACTTCGCATAAATGTATAAAAACATGTTTGTAAATTTTACAAAGAAATGTATGGATCAAAAAAAATATTTGAGAATAACATTTCATCTGTTTTAATTGGAAAGATTCCATAGATGAATTCGTAAAGGGAAACTATTCTTGATTTCACTGTAGGAAATCCAAATAAATCCAATATTGTTAAYAGCGTCCTTTTTGACAATATATTTTCCTTTCGTATCTGGTAAATAGCGCAGATAGCGGGAAATACGAACGAAAGATAGGCCAATCAAGTCTWGTGTAAACAATGTCAGACCTTTTAAATTCCTTASAAATGTACAAGTATAAACAAAAGATCACAATATCAACTGATGATCATTGTTTAAAATACCTGAGGGAAACGTGTGTTCCAKCAAATAATATTATCTACACTATGAACATTCCAAACGAGCACCTCACAAGSCACTAATGAACTCAAGGATCAGGGCGTGCTATCCYAATACTCGTTTGTCGATGTTTTGAACGTTTCGATTTTAGCCCAGTATTGTATTAAGATAAAGGATCGTTGCATAAGAGTAGAAAATTTGATCTTCAAACCTCAAGGGAACTTGTAGAAAGCTCTATTTTGGTGGGAAAACCCGCTGACTCGTCCCGGGCTCAAATGTCCGGAATTTCTGGCCATGTATGTCTTGTTTAACAGGACAACCCCTCGCTTTAATAACTTAGAACACTGATACTTTATAATCAATGGCTTCAAGAAAAACAGGCAACTGATAAATCCATTGAAGAAGAAGGCTAACAAAAAAGCAAAGAAAAGATATCGAAAAAATTGTTTTTTATATAACCCCACATTTCTATCGATTGATTTTATAGGCTATAGTTCCAGAACKACCTTTCACAAGCAATACTTTTAGGTAAAAATTCAGATTTCTCACAGTACTGTTTATGATCCAACCCAATCTTGGTAACGGCCAGTATATTATTATTCCTTTTCCAAAATAAAATTATAAAAAAATAAACCCCATTTAATGTTAAATTAGATTTCAATCTTGATATCGACTGCCTTTCCTCCACATATAGCTTGAGTCCATTTTCGTGTTTCATAACGAGTAAAGCAGGTTTTTACCGCGTTAGGTTTTATCTTTGTACATCGATGGCGTAAGAAAGGCTCTAGCCACAGCCCCACAAAACTGCCCACAAAGGCACCAGTATTGCTCCCCAGGGTCACCAAACCCAAGCAAAACTCCTCATATCGTGGCTCAATAGTTTGTTGAATCGTTACAAGTGTGTTTGAATAAACACAGCCGCTAAGAATCCCTACCACAAACGCTAAAAACATAATCAAGTACATGCTTTCAACGAACCTGAACCAAGATATACAGAAACTCAACACGAATACACCACTGGATAGRACCGTTGGAATCCATGTTTTGTAAATAGTCACAGTCTCTGAGATTGCGGGATTGCAACAGAAGATCCAGCTGAGATACGATCTGGAGAGGAATTCCCCCGCACCATAGAACGACATATAATACACGTAATGATCACGTGGGTTGACTATAGTGGCGTTTGTGAAAGCTAGAGTGGTAAAAACTGACTGTACCGTCAAATACTGGAAGATCTGAGTGAATCCCATGGATAGCATTAGCGGGAGAATTGACCAGGCCGCAGAGCATTTTTCCCACCATGATAGCTTGCTTGGGTCATGAACTTGCGTCTTTGCCGTGGTTGGTACGCTGCTATATTTATGACTGGTGTAGGTGGCTACGATGGCGTGAGACTTAACTCGGTCTTTGTTTAGGATATAGTAGCATACAAGGATCAATATCGACCCACATGAGATTATTATCATGGTCTCTTGTGGAGATATACAGATACCTGATGTAAGACCTGAAATACAAACCATGTATTCGTTCATATAATTGCCTGAATATGTTTGATTTTATTTCTGCCAAAAATATGCTCATTAACCCCCTACCCATAAACCTTCATAGAATCTATATTGTTCAAAAGAAACGGAAAGAACTGAAAAGAAAACAAAAGAGAAAAAGGAAACAAAAGAAACGAAAAAACCGTACAAGGAAAATAATGGGAAAGAATAAGAAAATTCGAAGCTAATTTTAAAKAAAAATACACAAGCTGGCTRAATAACAAAAATTTCCATATTCGCTGCGGGAGTAGATTGTCATAACAACTCTTTTCCTTTCATAAAACAATCTCTTCTACAATAACAAGCAATTTAGAGCTTATAGAAAATGTATCCGCTTACATTACYAATCTCACACGTACTCTTTATATGAAAACTACTCCATTCTTTCGCTTTTCCTCATTGTCATGTCTTATAAGTAATTGTATTCTGCATGCACATTTAAGATTCGACGTCTGAAAAAAGCCTTGCTAAATAGCGAAGATCACTTTGAAGAATATGCTAGAAAGCAAATTCGAACCACGCGGAAACAAAATCGCAAAATATCAGTTAACCGCCTGAAAAACTCTTTGGGCAGGAAACAGCCGCAACATTACTGGAAGCAACAAATATGTGCATTCATTCCAGTTATAATGTGCATATCTTGTTACCTCAAAAAGATCGATGAGTCTTATCTTTAAAAGACGAATTTTCGCTATTCTTGATTATAACTTTTAAGTCAACTTTACTTGAACTGGTGGAATGAAAAGAGATATAATCGTCTTTATCGCAATGAAGCGAACATATTGGATGAGAGCAAACACCTTATGATCAACAAAAATTAAATAAATTTCATGAAATTCTGACGTAGAMATGCAATGAAATTCTGAGGAATCAACTTTGAAGATTTGGCAGAGAAACGTTTGAGGAAAGCTGAAGAGATAAAATGACCATTGAGGAAGAAAACCAATAAATATCACAGTCAGAGGTACGAAAACGAATTAGTAAGATTGACTAGATGACCACTGAAGGCGAAGAACCAAAGACCATTTTCAAAAGGCATGCATGACGCGTGCATGACGAATAGAGAGACGAGAGAATATGTTATGGTGATAATATCTAAAGCATGTAAAACCAAGAAAACGACGACTTCACACAGGTCACTTAGTAGAGAACTATTAAAATATTGTCATCGCAGACGACAACGAGAAAGAAGAAAAGGACGTACGAAATATATATTGAAAAACGCAAGAGAATGACGCAAAGCACGAGGAAAAGCTGAGATGTACTGATGTCTCGTACAAAAAATGTAGCACATCAATATTCGTTTGCAAAAAGACCATTGATGAGAGTTTTAATCTATTTTTAASACARAAAAATCCTTTATCAAAACTATWATCTGAGCATCAATCTGAATGGAACACGGAAATTCGTAAATGCAGCCAAGACCATATTTCATACTCGCAACAGTCGCGTCGATAKTAGGCCCATATTACGCCAATATYTTTATTTATAGGAACGCTTGTTGTTTTCTCAGCATATTTTCCCGCAATTTGTCAATAGATGAGAAACAATGATGGTAATTTTTCATATTTGACAATGAACTGAGAAAAATTGTATTTCGAAGCCGCAATATWAAGAAAAAGAATTCTAGATGACTCTAGCTACACTTCTGTCAATAAAACTCATACTTGTAAGCTAGCGTAAGAAAGATAAACGTCTACCCACGCAGATTGGCCTTTGCGATATCGAACAAATTATAGAACGACTCTCAGTTATCCCCTCACCATTTTGTCCCCGTTTCAGCAATGCCTTGGTACTGCRTCACAAAGGGATTTTAAAGTAAATAAAGCTGATGCGATAGGATTATTTATTCAGATCACAAGGAGAGTTAAAAAACTAACTTGATGATAAGGAAAAGCATGGAAAAACCCAAAGAATTAACTTGCAGCCGAGAAAGTCTTTACAAAAATGTATCTGAATTAAAAATAACGGACATGATCATTTCGGTCAAAGCAAAGAGAGAGTAAAAGAATTTCATTTAGGTAAATAATATATTATTAAGAGAAATATAGCAAATACTCGAAGGTAAAAAACCTTGCAAATTATTTTATACAACGGACGAATAGAAAAGAACCGAGAACTGTCGTGTGAATTATCGGTCGATCGCGAAGGTGCATCTATGTCTATAAGTCTCATTCGAAATTAAAAAGATCTTTTGGCTTATTTCGAGGGTAAAATTCCTATTATCCCTTAAATTTCCCCTAATASAAGAGTTATAAGCGTGTATTTATGAAGCAAATTAACTTTTCATAAAATGTTTAATACTGACCTAAGTAGTATAAAGGCCCAATGAGGATTCCAATTCCGCTCCCAGCAGCAAAAGAGGTTACACTGATCTCTCCATAGAAGGCTCCCAATGCAAGGAAAGTAGCTTCTCCAAGGGAATGAGCTACAGCATTAAGAGCAACACCGACCAACTTCGCGTAAGGATTCTGTACAAACGTTATAACCAGRAACCCCGATGCCATGAAACTAAATATCGCAATTACACGAATAAAGTATGAAATTTTCTGCATGAACCAGGGGAAAGTGTAGATTACAAGAGCCATAGGTCCTACATGGGAAAGAAGAACTGCCGTGGTTGGTATCTGTGTCCCTCCAAGCAGATCTTGCGATCCAGCAATGATCACACTAAACAACGTATGGAGAACTAGGCCAACACCAAAGAAGCTGATCACCGTACGAATAAAGTCTCCACGTTCGTTGTTTTCGTACTGATCTTCTTCAGGAAAATCCAAGTACTTTGGCATCTTGTCTTCCGCCGATGAATCCATCTCTTGACCGCTCGATTCCTCAGCCATTTTGCCGAAAAACCTAGTTGATCTCTGGTCCAAGAATCATAATACGACGCGACGCCAGTAAAATGATCAACCCTTTGCTGTGTGGTAGAACTAATTTGAATACCAAATAACGAAATACCGAATTAAATTTTTTGGTTGGTTAGGCAACCGTACACGAGCGGTAAAACTCGTTGGTGAAGACGACCCTGTTTATCAATATTTTTTTCTTCAAAGCAGTTGAAAAGTACATACTAGTATGTTGTTAATGRTATTGCAGTCAAAGCCGTTGGCGGCTGGTAATTGAATTTTACCTTACGTGTATCATACAGCCATATAATAATTTAATATATACAAAAGATGACCTCATGACGTCATTGCTGAAGCTTAACTTCGGTCAATAGTGGTTATTGAAATGTAATGCAAGTGATGATTTTCTTAGTTCTCGAGCGAAAACCTTGTGACCTCGAACTCTTGACTTTCACTAGCCAGATTACGTTTTTTCTGCGACAAATTATAGGAGCGCCGGCTTTAACTGCTATATCATGTGCTATATCATGTATATATTTTATATTACAAATCTCATGTACTGGTGGGTGACACTTTGTATTCAAATACAGTAAAAACCCGCGTATAAGAACACCTATTTTGGCGGTTAAGGCTGATTTGGTTCTTTTAAAGGGTTATAATCTGCAAAATCAGCCTGTAAGTGTTCTTAAAAAAAGTTTCTTAAAATAAGGAGCATACTTGGCTACCAATAGATGAAATCAATATATATGCACACAATTTAAATTAATCAATATAATGATGTAACCCTTTTAATTTAAAAAAAATGATAAATCACTGATGTGTGTAATGAAAAGTATGGTTGATCTTTGATGTGTTTCCATATAAGAACAACTTTCATTTTTCAGTCTGAATGTGTTGTTATATAAATGGTACTTCAATTTCCTAATATCAGGTCTGGGTGTTTTGTAATCCACTTGTTCTTATACGCGGGRAGTTTTCTGTAGCCCTAATAAAGTTGATTGATCGGTTGAAGTTTTTCCCCAAATTCGCAGCAAAGCTCCAAATCCTAACGAACTTCAATTTDAGGTTTTCGCGTTATGAGGAATTTCTAATTGACTTTTTGTAGAATTAACTTTCTACATATCTTATTAGCTGATTGACATTCATATTTGTGAGGTTTCTCGCTTGCCTYGTCGCACCATGTTATCGCTGATCTATTTCCAGTCCATCTTATTTCATCGATATTTTAATAACCTTCCTACTAGAAGATAACCATGTGTTCCAACCCAAACTTCCGCACTTGGGAATACAGTGGGAGTCTAACTGAAAATCCCAAGTGATTAAAGCAATTTGGAACAATAAGTATATCGATCATAAATCTAGCTGCTATAGAGAGTTCTTTAAGCGTAATATAAACGAAATATGGGATTTGTGTGATAATAGTGGAAACTTTGWATGGTCAGGGRTAAAAAATAAAGGTCTGCAAGAAAAACAATGGGCTGGAATAATACACGCAATTCCAAAAGAATGGAAAACAATTATAAAATTGCATTTGAATTCTAACACCAAGACAAGCAGTGTCTTTATCTTTGACCAGAACATAGTCGTAACATTTTGTATCTAAATCGTGATCTTTTTCGTTTAYAGTTGTTCTTTTTGCCATTTTAATGTGGAAACAATTGATCATTTATTTATAGATTGTACAGAAGCGAAAAGTTACTATTTTGACATACGAGCTTGGCTGGACTGGAGTATAGACTATTGTTACCAGCTTCAAACGTTATTATATATTAATATTAAATATTATATTGGGAGTTGATGAAATCAGTGAAAACTTTCYAATTTTACTATACAAATATTCTTTGTAAAAGCAAAGAGTGAAGCAAAAAATTAAATACCAACGCTAAATAGTTTTAAAAATCTACTAAAACACTATCAACTAATAGAAAGAAAAGTCGCCACAAGCAGAAACAAAATGTCTTCACACAATGAGAAATGRGAGAAAATAATACGCGCTCTGTCTAATTAATTTCAAACAGCCAAATTTTCTAAGACAGTTTATAGCCATCTCTTTTCTCATTCCCTTTTTTTTGTTATTAGTGACTTCAATAGTAATATTTTTTTTCCTTTGTAAAATGCTTGTTATATGTAAAATATTTCAATGATAACTGAAGAATCTAGAGGAGATCGCCTATCACCTCCATAAATGTAAATAATTCAGAGTACAGTATTGTAATTCATGTAAGAGAATCTAGAGGAGGATTACCTATGGTTTTTCTCCTCCTTAATTGTAAATGGTAAATAATTATATGTTGAATGTATAGTTTACAACATGAGCGGCCGTGTTGTATGGGAATTACAATCTCGAGCCGCAACGACTTATAAAACTCCAACACTAATTAACATGAATTACAGTGGGATACATGACGAAAAATGACAAATAATTTAACTGCTGACTTTAGTCGCTATAAAGCATGGCTGCGCAATTTACTGCAACACAGAACATTTTGAATAATTATCCATCCCACATGGAAAGCAAGCCATCTGTTGCATAAGGGAGTTCTGTTATCTGTCTGTGACTGCTTCAAAACCTAGTGATGGTCTATGATGCGATACTAAAACTGAGACCTTTGCTGGTGTGGGTTGTCTCAAGGTGACGACCGTGTTGTAAATCTTATACAACACTAGTGTTGTATCACAGTGTTGTAGAGTGCTCGCACTAAATGCATGAAATATAAATACTACAAAATAGGTGCTAGTTATACAAATTYCTTTGTTTCCTATTGTATAATCAACACTATTTAGTAGTAATTAGTACTATTTGTTTCACGCTTTAAGTGCGAGCACTCTATTGGATTTACAATGTCAATCACTTGATTAAATGGACAGCCCTTATTGGAGTAATAGCTCATGCATTATTAATAAGTTTTATAATAGTAATTCCCCATGCGAATGTTGGAAACGAATTTTATAAAACTTATTAATAATGCATGAACTATTGCTCTAATAAGGGCTGACCATTTAATCAGATGATTGACCTTGTAAATCTGATACAACACAAGTTTTGTATAAGATTTACCAGACCGTCGTCACCATTGAGACAACCCAACACTAGCAGAGGTCTCAGTTTTATTATCGCATCATAGACCTTCACTAGGTTTCGAAGATAACAGATAACAGAACTCTCTTATGCAACAGATGTCTTGCTTTCCATGTGGGATGAATAATTATTCAAAATGTTCTGTGTTGCAGTAAACTGCGCATGCTTAATATCGACTAAACTCAGTAGTTACATTATTTGTCATTTTTCGTCATTTATCTCACTGTAAATCACATTAATTAGTGTTGGAGTTTCATGTGGATTTACAACTCTCTTCATGTGCTATGATTTCTATTGTGTTTTGCCTATAATTAATATTAATGAGTTTTATAGCAAATATTTGCGGATTGACAACACAAAAGGGCGACATAGAATTAAGACCCTTTTGGTGCACCGAGTGAATGAACTGCGTCTTTGATATGTCTTTGATAAGACCCTTTTGGTGCACCGAGTGAATGAACCGCGTCTTTGATATGTCTTTGATAAGACCCTTTTGGTGCACCGAGTGAATGAACCGCGTCTTTGATATGTCTTTGATAAGACCCTTTTGGTGCACCGAGTGAATGAACCGCGTCTTTGATATGTCTTTGATAAGACCCTTTTGGTGCACCGAGTGAATGAACCGCGTCTTTGATATGTCTTTGATAAGACCCTTTTGGTGCACCGAGTGAATGAACCGCGTCTTTGATATGTCTTTGATAAGACCCTTTTGGTGCACCGAGTGAATGAACCGCGTCTTTGATATGTCTTTGATAAGACCCTTTTGGTGCACCGAGTGAATGAACCGCGTCTTTGATATGTCTTTGATAAGACCCTTTTGGTGCACCGAGTGAATGAACCGCGTCTTTGATATGTCTTTGATAAGACCCTTTTGGTGCACCGAGTGAATGAACCGCGTCTTTGATATGTCTTTGATAAGACCCTTTTGGTGCACCGAGTGAATGAACCGCGTCTTTGATATGTCTTTGATAAGACCCTTTTGGTGCACCGAGTGAATGAACCGCGTCTTTGATATGTCTTTGATAAGACCCTTTTGGTGCACCGAGTGAATGAACCGCGTCTTTGATATGTCTTTGATAAGACCCTTTTGGTGCACCGAGTGAATGAACCGCGTCTTTGATATGTCTTTGATAAGACCCTTTTGGTGCACCGAGTGAATGAACCGCGTCTTTGATATGTCTTTGATAAGACCCTTTTGGTGCACCGAGTGAATGAACCGCGTCTTTGATATGTCTTTGATAAGACCCTTTTGGTGCACCGAGTGAATGAACCGCGTCTTTGATATGTCTTTGATAAGACCCTTTTGGTGCACCGAGTGAATGAACCGCGTCTTTGATATGTCTTTGATAAGACCCTTTTGGTGCACCGAGTGAATGAACCGCGTCTTTGATATGTCTTTGATAAGACCCTTTTGGTGCACCGAGTGAATGAACCGCGTCTTTGATATGTCTTTGATAAGACCCTTTTGGTGCACCGAGTGAATGAACCGCGTCTTTGATATGTCTTTGATAAGACCCTTTTGGTGCACCG